GACTAGCGGAATAGCGCGCTATTGCCCAACACTGGAAAAATTCATAAAGAAGAACTCCACTGAGAGCAGTGTTCAAAATGCTGACGGTTTTCGATTCAAGTTCCATTAGGTGACGATATTTTGACTTTCGCTGTAAAAATTTTTCCTGCACACTTCCACACAAGTTGTTTAATCTGTTTCTTTTTTTCTGAACACCTCAATCTAATTTTGCGCTGTCCTGTTACAATTGCTTCATTCTTCATGTTTATCAGTACATTTTTCAATGCATTCAAGTGAAGTATCTCATTAAATTGTATCATATGTATATATTTCATTACGAATTCACATAAGCGTTACGAATTACGAATTCATTGCGTTATGCGCATATTTCTGTTGAATTACAAATGCAATAACCTCTTCTGTCTCTCATGGACATGTTGCACACATCAGTGAGCAAACAATGAAATCCTGATAAGTTTGATGATCTCGCCAAACCGTTCGTTCGCATGTTTAGATTTTTCACTTCATCATTTGAGGGTCTATCAAATTTTGGTCAAACATACGGACCATACACCATCAAAAACTAGCCGCGATCGTTTTAGTAGTGTTTTCTGTTGAGATTTTTTTTGCCTTTTATTTGATGCATCCCCATAGAGGCACTTAAACAATTCTGATTGCGTTGTGGGGAAAGTTTGCAACAGTTGATTCGTAACGATTTTTTATCCAATGTACTTTCGTCACCACCACATGCCTGAGGTAACATTTTCAATAAAATGAAGTTTGAGTGTCTGAGCGAACGGATTTTTTAAAATCTCTTTTCGTTTCGTAGATTTTCTGGTCGAAATGCGAAATTTTGGAACTTCGGAACGTAAATCAATTTCATGAGCATCCATCTGATAGATGAGGATTACGAGTTAATGCATTCCATTTTGTTAACCACTTTCCGCAGAATGCTTATCCTCTGGTTGACATGGTGTCCTATTCAAAATTGTAAATGTTGTTACTTCGAATAAATTGTATCTTGAAATAGAGACCGGTCGCTTCTCCACGTCAGTTTTATGCGCTATCGTCTCAACTGAAATGTTTTCATAGCCTATCACAGTCGTATCAGCTTATCGACGTCTCTGCTGATCTACATTGTGGCCACCAATAGCTATGAACGGTGCTTCGATCGCACAATTTGGTTTTCCGGTTCAGCCTGGTCGAGAGCATGCTCTCATGCACACACATAGTGAATTTGTGTGAATCATTACGGTACACCGATGTTCGCTGGAAATGGACGCTTTTTCCGGATCTGTTCTCATCCCTGAACTCCTCTTTTGTAGATGAGACCGTATGGATGCTGCTAATAAAAATTTGAATTTGACATTTCAATAGTGTGATCATTTATAAATGTGTGGTTTAATAGCACATTTTTATTTCTCTTTGGCGATCTCAGTTCTCAGACAGCATCATATTCAAGTGCAGTTTTGAAATGAAACTGCTATGTGAAAACAAAGGAATATTTACGGCTGCTGCGAAGACTAGTGAATAATTCATTAGTAATTCAATCAGAATTCATAATAATTCAATCATAATTCATCATTAGTAAAGCGATCATGTGGAATGTACGTACAAATAGGGAGACATGATGTAGCCGTGTGTTCTTCATTCATGTTCAGCCAGGCATCACGTGCGTCCTATCATTTGAAAATAGCACGAGTATACATGAATCATTGCGTTCAGAGTTAATCTTGAGTTCACATCAGCTGAATACACGATCATTATCATTGTCCCACTTCAATGCGATATTGATCCTGCCCGAATATGTCAACATAAAGCATTTTCGAAGTTTGCAAAATTATTCATTATCTGGAAAGAGAGTGCAAAAACACCATCAATGTTTACTACCAACACCAACTGAATTGTCTCCGACTTCAGCTACTTCCATCATTCATATTGAGCTTTTTGTTGTTCTATCTTCAGAACATACAGGATGAGATGCGGTTTTACCGTATTCTGCGTCTTAGATGAATACAAATGTGAATCACTCGCAGCAAATCACTATGAAGTTATTCATGCGGTTACAATCGGTACAAATATGGTCAAAGTCATTCCATTCAAACATCTTGCGATTTTCATGCAATCGTTAATCAGAAAAACTATGGGTGAATCAACTACTTAATATTTACACTGAATGCTGGCGCACATTGTCATTAAGAGTTGGAATGTTTTCGCTGAAAAAAGTATTCGGTTTGAATTTGACGTTGCTGTGTGAAAGTGTACTGCACAAGGCTGGTAGTGAACAGATGAATTCTTAAAGAGATTTTATTCATAGGGAAAAATCTCTGAATAAATTATTTTGTATCGAAGTATGGACAATTTGAGGGGATTTAAAAAGAATGTGAAGGGGAGAATTGCTAAATTAATTCTCATAATGGCATGGATTGACACTGGATCTATTTGGAGTGGAAAATAATCGTCAGTCAAGAGACCGTTGATTAATATCCTGGGGCTGTGCGAGGTGGTGGGCAGTGATCGCATCCACCATCGACACCTGCGGCTCCATTGGCACCTGGAGCTCCATCTGCACCTGGTAGACCAGCCTTTCCGTCGACACCACTGTCTCCGGGTGGTCCTTGAGGTCCTTGGTATCCAGGATTTCCGCGTGGGCCCGGTGGTCCATCGGCTCCTGGAGCTCCTTGAGGTCCAGCTGGTCCTGGCGGTCCAGGTTGTCCTGGAGCATTGCTGATAATTCCTGGTGAGCCTGAAGGTCCCCTTGGTCCTGGAGGGCCTAAAGGTCCTACTGGTCCAGGTGGTCCTTGAGAACCAGCTGGTCCGGGGAGTCCGGCAGCTCCGTCTTGACCATTTTGTCCAGATTGGCCTAGAGGTCCGACTGGTCCTTGTCTTCCGGGTGGTCCAGCAAGAGCTGGAGCGCAATCGAAGCACCACTCGATCTTAGGTGGTCGGGTTGCTGCAGGTCCATCGAAGCCATCGCGTCCCGCTATTCCCGGTAATCCATCAGCACCATCTTTACCGTCTGGACCTGGTGGTCCTTCTGGTCCAGGTGGTGAAACTCCACAACCACAGCATGCGTTTGCTTGACGTTTCGAGCGAGACTTTTCAGAAGCAATCGTCTGAAAATTACAATCGATCTTAATTAATAGTATTGGGCAATTATCAGTCAATCATTGCTCACGTTAACAGCACAAATTTTCGATCGAATCACGCTCACTGGTTTGCTCACTGCTCACAACAGAAATCTAGATGCGGTTGCTAGCTAATTGACCCTGTTCTTGATCATGAGCCATTTATCACTCATGCATCACATTTCGCCGATATGCGTGTGAGTTGTCTCATCTGAGCATAAAGTTTCTTTCTATTGCAATTAAGTTGTGAATTCTTTGGTGCACGAGAGATTCAAAAAGACACCAAAACAATTCAATTTTTTTTGGATACTCAACTTTAGGGTTGGAATTATCCGCATGAATCTCCTTTATAATGGTATTCCTAATGAAAACTGCTATTTCTCGTCGGCCGTCGTTTCTGATACAAAACGAATTCCATATTCCGAGCAATTTACACAAAAAATTGATTACCCATTCGTCGCTTCCAAAATCTTTTCTATTCATCTCAGATTACTCGAACAGTTTTGGGTGTTTACTATTAATTTTGATGTCCTCAGATGGTGTCTTTTTGAAGGATGCATTATATGGAACTTACTTGAGTGCGGGTGACTTCTCTCCAGATATTTCCGGAACGTGATGTGCAGAAGTCGACTTCGTTTTGCATGATCGATTGAACATGTTGCATGTAGTTATAGAGCATTGGCACCGAGATGACGGCAACCAGAGTGGCTATCGTCGAGAGTGCAATTCCGAGGAATGCAATTCGGCGAAGACCGTTCATTTCTACTTCTTTCTTCTCCATTTTTAATGCTAATCTCCTCCTGAAAGATCGCTCCTTAATAAATGTCTTTCAGCGAGCACCTCTTCGAATGCGAACATCCCCGAATTAAACGTGGCACAACACTCACTATCAAAATAAAAAAGCCTAAAGAATCTACTGGACCTTCAAAAATGAATTCCTAATATGAGAACGAACAAGCCTACTCTTTCTTCGTATTTTGTTGATTCTATGGGAAGCAGGCGTAATGAAAAGCAGCCCCCAAATCATTCCAATCGCAATTCATGACAGATCGTTTGAAAATCATTTTTCCAAGCCTAATTCTCATGACAGATCGTTTGAAAATCATTTTTCCAAGCCTAATTCTCAAGTGGTAGGTTTATGGCGATAAGGACTGATTGTGAAAGTTGGAAGCGATATGTGTAGATTATCGATAGTCTCACTGGTTATATGCAAATACTGGAATAAATGGCCGATGTTGAACGGTAGTATTAAATCAGAAAATTGTGAATGAGTGATTCGTATTACAATTCGTTGTATTTATATGAGAAATTAATGTGTTTGTTTTGGATCGTAACATAAAAACCTAATTATTTTGTGTTGATAACCTCCTCAAAAAACACTCTCATAACTAGAAGACAACAAAAGATGTCCGTGTTTCTGATATGAGCTCTCGAATTGACTAAAAACGTTAAACAGGTCTTCATTCATTAATGTACTCAATTTACGTTTGGTTTGTTCCGTGCGAACAGGTCATGGTCTACCACAACACCGTTATTATTCCATTCGTATAATTTGCTATGCTGGTTATATTCAGGTTAACTACGCGCATCAAATAAGTGTTGTTGATGTGTTCTTATCAATAAAACAGTTCGAATTTCTCGTTAATGATGCCCTCCGTTCAATGGGAATGCGCCATCGCATTAGTGTTTTCTGTAATTTCACAACAATGATGGTAATCTGCTGAAATTCGCTCGGCTGAATTGACGAATTTCGCTCGAAACGCGAAACTCAAAATCTTGAAAGGTCACAATCGTTGACATTCCGACTGAATCAAAATTAGGTTCCCTTGCTATCCCCAAAGCAGCTTAGCAGTTCAACCAATATGTTGGAGCAAAATTTAGTTGCGTTTTTTGTCACACGTGAAGAGTTGCTGAGTGACCGATGTTTTGAGAGTAAATGTCAAGAAATCGTTTATTTTCGCTTGCTCAACACGGGAGGATATTAATCAAACAACGACAGAGATTTCACCAGATTTAACAGTAATTCAGATATTGAAAATTGGATGGCTGTTTGTGTCGAAACTAAGCCCTTTTTTGAATATCTCTTGAATTGAGATATTCTTGTGTATTTATCTCTTTGAGATCAAACTTTTTGTCAAAGATTTTGGACCGACGCGAAATCGAACTCACGCCCTCTGAACGGATCGGATCCTCAAAGCGTCTCAACTATATTATTCACCAGCGTTACACCAATACCCTATCGACCCATTGCACAATGTTTCTTATTTGATTCAACTACTATCTCTTTTAGTACTATCATCATTCTATGCTAGCTTTTCGCGCTAGTCGCGACAGTTTGAACGTATTGGGTTCAAACAGATATTAGGTAATCTAAACTGGAACCGACTGAGACCGAAAACGAGCAATCAGTCAGTAGCATCGGCAAACCGAACTTCGATGTCCACCGACCGAAACCGAAAAATACTCAGAACTTGCATGCGAAAAAATTCTCTTGCGTCTCAACTATAAATTTCATAACAATACAAGCAAATGTTTTAGGATTTCGATTTTTCGAGAACAAACGTGTTGCAACTTGATGAATTGCATGCACACCAATTCCAGCTGCTAGATTTTTTATGCCTTTATTATTAACTGATGGTTTAAAAGTAAAATCATACACACAAAACGAAACGTATTCAAAAACGTATCATTGTGAATTCATGTGCATTCGATGAGATTCTTCGAACAATAGTTATCACTAAACGGGCATTCAAATGCTGCGATAAATCGACCTGTTCCTATTGATAACCTGGATTGTTGACGCTTTTTAGATGTAAAACGCAATTTCCGCCATTGATTTCTTGTTTGTACATCAAACGGATCAAACATTCTAATTTCATTCCTCAAACGATGACAGTTCTCTTTTGATGTCTGACAGGTTGGTTAAGATAATAATCCAGTGATAAGGGATTAAATGAGAGAGCACAATGTTCAGTGAATAGATCTTTTAAATGTTTGATCGTTTTCGGTACTGCTAGACGGTGAGACAGATTTCGAAAGCGAAATTGAAAGGTGAGACAGATTTCGAAAGCGAAATTGAACAGTTCATGTTAAACAATTGTAATAAATGAGATAAACAATTTGCATAGAGAAACAATGATAGTGAAATTTTGGGAGCATTGTTGCATGTTCCTAAATAAACTACGAAATGTTGCTTTCATTGTTTAATTCTTTGTGTTTGTTATCTCGTAAAGGTATTCAGCTGAACTGGATGATATAATCACCGACAAATCATGAATTAACCAACGCATCTGAACCGATTTCCAGTTACTGCAAATGCCACTGACCATGATCCACATATATAAATGCTCAGCTCTGCTATGGCATTTCCATTCGGAATTGCAACATTTCGAAAAGCAGTTGAAACGTCGTAAGTTCTCGTTCATTCTTCATTCATACCACTTTCATTGATCCAATTTCATATTTTTGACCAACAATGTAAACATTCGTGAGTAGCTTCATCGATTCAAAGCAGTCTTTCGTGATGGGTAGCTCTATATCGTTTCAGCTCGAACAAATGCGAGAACGATAAAATGTATCATTCAAAATTACCACCGTTATGTATCAGTATATCTGGAACTCATCCATCCAGACTTCACTGAAGTTTGTAGCATAGAAATAACGCTATTTGTCGAATGTCTTCATCTCCTAATAAAAGAGTGCAAGTGGCCTTCATTGATTGTGATCTGTTGCGTGTATGACTGAATAATTTGTAAATTATGGTAAAAGTTTTAAATCTAGATGGGAGAAGATATGAATGGGAAGGATAAGGAGATTCAAGCGAATGCGCTCCGAAGAGTCGCTTTCTTCGGTGTGACACTGTCTACAATTGCAACGCTAACCTGTGCCATATCAGTGCCAATGCTCTACAACTACATGCAACAAATGCAGTCAGTGATGCAAAATGAAGTTGATTTCTGCAAATTACGATCCGGTAATATTTGGAGAGAGGTCACTCGAACACAGGTAAAACTATCGTTACCACTATTAAATTTTTGAAAACCATAATGGCGATACCATGATTCGATATGTCTCTCACGTAAACGTTGCATATTTGTCGACAGTTCATTGCGAGAAATCCATGAGGTGATGAGAATAACCCGTTGTTCATTTCATAAAGACTAAGAAAGCCGTGGAGCGATGGAGTTCTTTTAGGATTGACACGATCACTTATAGTGGTGAACGAATTAAACCAATTTATGAAGATTTCAACTCAGTTTGAACAGCATGAAGTCTCTTGACATTCATTCAATGGATTTTTGAACAAGTTTCACCGCAAGCTCTTTTCTATGCTTAGAATTGCTGGCGAATCGATTTCGCTGGAACTTTTCGCTATCAATATTTGTACCAAGTCGCTAATCAAACAAATGAACAATTCAAGGTTCTCGCAACATCAGATGTCCGAGAGAAACGTCAAGCAAGATCAAGATGTTGCGGATGTGGCATAGCAGAGCCAGGCCCTCGTGGTCCACCAGGGCCAGATGGCAGGGATGGAGCGGACGGATTACTCGGAGCGCCAGGGAGAGATGGAGCTGATGCAGCACCACCATCAATTCCACCTGAGAACGACTACTGCTTCGAGTGTATGGAAGCAGCAGCAGGACCACCTGGTAGGCCTGGACCAAAAGGTCCACCTGGTTTTGCGGGTGAACCAGGAGCAGATGGTTATATCGGAAGACCTGGTCCAATGGGGCCACCTGGTCGTATCGGATCCCCAGGTGCTGCTGGTAGACCAGGAAGCAAAGGACTTCCAGGAGAGCCGGGAAAAGTCAATGAAGTGGACGGACAACCTGGTCCAGTTGGACCGGCTGGGGACGAAGGATTATCTGGAGAGCCTGGCCTTCCTGGGCCGCCAGGTTTGCCCGGTACGCGTGGTCCTCAGGGACGAATGGGTGATGCAGGCAAAGATGGAGCCCCTGGTAAAAATGGCGCAGCAGGACTGGATGGACCTCAAGGAATGCAAGGAGAGCCTGGCACTTGTTCTCATTGCCCACCACCTCGTACTGCTCCTGGATATTAAGGGTATGTATTAGAGCCGACGAGATAAGCAGCACTTCGACTCCAATGTCTACTTTCATCTGCTAGAATGATTAGATTAGCTGCGATGATTTTTTCAATCACAATTTGTCAGAGGATATTAACATAGAATTTAAGTGTCATCTTTACCTAAATAAATTCATTTCTATGCTCGTTTTTAAAGCATTTTATTTCCTCATTTATTCCAAATTTGTTACTCGTTCCACACTTCCATAATGTACCGCAACCCTGATGTTCATGAAAAAGGTAAGAAGTTAACAAAAGAGTATTGAAGTAGTACAATCAGATGCTTTCAATCTAATTTTCTGGCAGTTGTTTCTTTTAAATGAGATATTCTTTATTCACACGAATTTATTAGTATTCACATAATCAGAATCAATCAGTGCACAAACAGAAAAAAAANAAAAAAAATACAGCTTAAAATGATAGTGACGAGGTCATAACTGAAGATAAATGGATGAATGAATTGAAATCAGTGTTCTGATGCAAAATCTCATAGTCAGTGTTTTAAATTCCACATTGCTATTTCATAGCATTGAGTTAATCAAACGCATTACTGTTAGTGCGCAGTATGGATCAGATTCAAGTGAAAACTTACATCGCACTCATAATCAGTGTCGATTAATTCGACCAATTCACCACCAGTCCCGGAACATTTCTACGATAAACCTCCGGTCAAACGCCATCCTTCTCAGTTATGACCAATCACATCAACAGCAAAATCCAAAAACTTGCACAAGATAACTCCAATGTAAGAGAATTGTTGCGATGACAGTTGCTCAGTGATAGCGTAATTGGCATCAGTTTTGTTTTCGGAACATTTGTTAAATTGGCATCAAATATATCATCATTTTAATATAGCAGCAAAAAAGACTCGGTAGTTTCGAAAAGACTAACAGTTAGAGACTGCAGGAGATGGTAACACTGATAACAATAACGATGACATTATGCTCATTAAAATGGGAAATGTATCGCCTTTTTAAAGTTAAAATTACGAAATAACATTGGAACAACGCGATCAGAATAAACAATTACTTCAAGTGAAACTTTGAAAAGTAACAATTCACACGACATCCGAGACAAAACAACAGTCTTTGTCCCTAACTACTTACGGCTTAGAGTGATATATACGGGAGGTGAGGACATCAAAATGGAAAGTGCACTCCCTCGAATTCTGTGCCCTGATATTTGTAAATGTTTGTGTGAATGCCGGAGTAATTTATGTTAGACTTGATAGACCCTGCCGAAAAAATATTCGATGTATGATACTGGCTATTTATTATTGCACAAATGATAGAATCTCATGACGACTCCAGCTTCCATATGTTAAAGACTTTGGACTTTGCACTCTTGAAGACCTTTGACTCTTCGAAATTTAAAAAATTGTCATTTTTCGTTTATGAAAAATTGGGAGCGGAAACATTTTGACGGAGCATCATGACTGTCAATTGTGACGGTTAGCTAACTGAATATTCAGTGACAATTTCTTCAGTCGATTGTACACGCTGCTCACTTGCGATAATTCCCTTTTCAAAGCTTCATTGTCAATTTTCAGTGAGTTCATTCGATTTTCCAGATCCATTTTGTTCATATCTCTGGAATATTTATCGACCATTAGTAAACCGAATTAGGTTCGGAACTTTCTGCGGACTGATAAATAATCTGACAAGGTAATTTTCACCCTCTGAATGCTCCTGAGTAATACTTCATCAGAATTTCGCTGAATTTTGATATACTGGAATACTGGAATACTGGAATCGGCCAGGCTATCGAACGTTGTTGACGTTGCTGGCCACAATGCGTTTCCAATCAGTCCTCGACCTTGCTTTCCTTTGCCAGGTCTTACCAATCGCCTTGTCGATCTCGTCTCGCCACCTTTTTGGAGGTCTTCCGAGCGGTCGTTTTTGTTCTCGGGGGTACCATTCTAGAATTGCTCGGGTCCACCTGTTGTCATTCATTCGAGCTACGTGGCCTGCCCATCGTACCTTCTGTTTCCTGTACTCTGTGATTACGTCGTTTATCCCAGTTCTCCGGCGTACCTCCTCGCATCGGATGTGCTCACGCAACGAT